GTACCACGTCAATGGCATTTAACAAGAGCTGCTCCGTATAAGAAAAGACCTGAAAATCGGCTTTTGCAAATACTACAGCCTGCGAACCCTATGGGAAAGTCTCCCTTGTATTATATATGATTTCTATAAGTCAGAATTGATTCAACGGCACACAACAACTTGCTCAAGGTACTATGTTGTTGTTGTTAAGTGCCGTCGAGTCGATTCCGACTCACAGCGACCCTATATAGGGTTTCCAAGGAGCAAGTGGTGAGCTTGAACCGCCAACCTTGCAGTTCAAATGACTTTGCAGTCTGATGCATTAACTCACACTGCCACACAAGGTACTATACTTGATATTAAATTGAGAGAATAAATTAGGTATGTTTTGTTCCTCAGAGAGTATATGACTATTCAGGAAGAGATGGAAGCACAAATCTTATATGAAAAAAATGAGGCTTTCTCCTCTGGTAAAGATTTACAACCTCCAAAACTCTAGACAGTGTCACTACAAGTCAGGGCTGACTCTCTAGCATGGGGTTGGGCAGTTCCTGGGTGATAAAAATGGTCACAGATCTCAACTACAGCTGAAAAGGCTGCAATGTGAATCAACCCAACAGCATACTTTAGAAGAAGAAAGGCCTAGTGATGCACTTTCAAAAAATCACAGCCATAAAAAACCCCACGGAGCACAGGTATATTCTGACACAAATGGGGTCGCCATAAGGTAGAGTCAACTTGGTGGGATGTGCTTTGTTTCGTGATCACTTGTATAAAGAGGAAACAAAGCACTTAAGGAGCACAGGGAGAAAAACCTAGTAAACATCTGTCATAAAAGCAACCCAAAGGACAGACCATCTGAGATAAGGCTTTGAAAATTCACTAGCATTTCAGTAGGCAGCGAAGTATAGGAAGGACATCTAACGACAGAGAACAAAGGAAAAGGTAAATACGAAGGAACCTGACACAGTGCAGGACCATCAATTATGTAATATGATTTTCTTATGTAATAAAAACCTGTGAGTTTGTCATACTGTAGTGGTTTCTGCATTGCAGTGATACTGGTAGCTATGCCACTGGTATTTTAAATACCAGCCGTTATTCATCACCACTGGACCGATAAACAACAACATGATAAATGGAGAAAAGATAGAAACTATCAAATACTTCATTTTGCTTGGTGCCACAATCAACACTCATGGAAGCAGGAGTCAAGAAATGAAATACTGAATGAAATATAATAGGTAAATCTGCTGCACGTCAAGACCTCTTGAAAGTTTTTAAGAGCAAACATAATCAGTTTAAGGACTAAGGTGCATCTGGCCCAAGCCATGATATTTTCAATCACCTCATATGCATGTGAAAGTTGGACAATTAATAAGGATGTATTTGTATTATGCTGTTTGAGAAGAAATTTATGATGTATTTGTATTATGGTGTTTGAGAAGAATATTTAAAGTACCATGGACTGCCAGAAGAACAAACAAATCTGTGTTGAAAGAAGTTCCGCCAGGAGGGATCAATCCCTGGAGAAGGACATGCTGTTTGGTAAAGCAGACGGTCAGCAAAAAAGGAAGACCTCCAAGGAGATAAACAGACACAGTAGCAGGAGCAGTGGGCTCAAATTTCACAATTGTGAGGATGGCGCTGGACTGGGAAGTGTTTCCATCTCTTATGATAGGGACTCTATCAGTCAGAACCAACTCAAAAAAATTAAAACAGAAAACAGATTGGGTTATTTGGCTTCAGTTGTTTTTTCATTCTATACTTGATAAAACAATCTCAATGTTTCAAACTAAATGTAAATTTTCTGATACATCAGAAAAGTGTAAAGTAAGACAACAATAAAAATAGTTTAAATGTTCAGTTCATCAGGTCATCAACAGCAACTGGGTAGTAAATATCTCTACTAGAAATTAACCAGGTTAAGTGAATGCTTTGTTCTACTTCAATGCCTTGATGGTTACATAATGTATCTCTTCTAGAATCAGAGATCTTTATTTTAAGCATTGGAAACTATCTCTTATAGCCAAACAACAACAACGAAAATAAGAGAACAATAGCTAAATAGCTAATACACTGTTATACTGTTACACTGTTGTTCAGAACCTTCTATTGATTGACTCATCGTGCCCCCATGTGACACAGTAGAACTACCCTATATTTATAGGAGAAGCATTTTGGCTCTACAGGGTAAGTCCTGAACTGTGAACCACAAGGTTGGTTGTTCAATCTCACCAGCTACTCTCTAGGAGAAAGATTAGGCTTTCTGCTCCTGCAAAGGACTATAACTTCAGCAACCCTATAAAGTGTCATTATGAGTCAGAACTGATAATGACATTTACAGATTCAGATCACCGGGTCTTTCTTCCAAGGTGTTGTTGGTTGGTTTCAAACAACCAACTTTTCAATTAATACCCAAGTGCTTAACTGGTATACCAACAGAGTCCCTACAGTCTTCTCTATAAAGTGGAAAATCAGAACGCATTGTCGGCTGATCTGCATGGCTCCAGGAACTGCAAAGCGTCTGAAACTACACAGAAAGTGTCAAATGTGAAAACGCTTAGTCCTTTCTTTCTAATAAGAAGTCTTTTTCCAGAACGGCAGTGCTTTGCACAAAGAGAACACTCAATAAACACTTGCTAAACTCAAAATTGATCTAAGACTCAAAATACATAATGTCTTGTCACAAATGTTTACAATATTAATATCGTTACCTGGTATTACATTATTATACATAGACAAATTAATACGTATACATTGTGACTATTTTACAGAAAAACCTGAGTTACTAAGAACAAAATCAGATTTTGAAGCTTAAAAACCTAAGTTTGAGGAGTCATTCCTTCAAACACTGTTACTTCAAGTCAGATTATCAGCTTTCAGCTTCCTTGTGCATGAAATTATTATAACAACAATAACTCCTCCTACTGCCAGTGTGAAATTAAATGAGAGCAAGCATGTCAAAGTACCCTGTAAAGCAAAAATGGCTATACAAAATAGTATTAAGTTGATTGTTTTCTAGCTTATTTCCCACACCAGAGCCATTCTTATTTCCTCCAGGTATACTACACAATCTGATCTACCAATCTGTACAACTTCAAAGCATATACTAAATCCATCCACAGCATCCACACTGAACCACAAGTATTGATTCTACTCTGGTTCAAAGGTCACCAGTTCTCACTTGGCCTTTTGCATCCAGCCTCCTTGATTTGTTCACCTTACGTCCTCTAAGCCATTTAAAAGCCAAAATTACCTTTTAAACAGTGTCTCTGAGTGGTGGTGCATGCTCAGGCTAACTAAAAAGTTGGACAAACGTTTGAGTCCATCAAGAAGAAAAGCCTGGTAATCTATTACCCAAAACTCAGCCACTAAAAACCCTATAGAGCACAGTTCTACTCTGATTGACATAGGGTCATTATGAATCAAACTTGATGGTGGCAACTGGTCTAATCTTCTAAATATGCAACTGAACCATATCACTCACTTCGTTTCACAACAGGAAGAAAACTTTTTAACTCTTTACCATCACCTCTAAGGTCCTACACGCTGTGATCCCCAGGGGACTTCATTTCCAAACACCAGTCCCTTCACTCAAGAACTACAGTGGCCTTCTTTATGTTCTGTAACCACTCTGCAAACTCAGAATTTCTAGCCAGGGCCTTGCATTTCCAGATGACTCTATCTGGAAAATTCCAGAACTTAGTAGTGCCCATTCCCTCATATCCTCCAGATTTGCTCATATATGGTTACCTCATCATCAACACCTCCCCTAAATACCGTTCAGAAAATGGTGAGTCCTCCCCTTATAACTCTTCCCTCTATGACTCTGATTTCTACATAGTCACCACTGTGTTACCGTTAAGTGCTGTGGAATTGGTCAGGACTCATAGGAACCAGTATGGGGTTTCTGAGGCTTTAAATCTTTGCGGAAACAGAAAGCCTCATGCACTTCAGAAATCATATCACTTGTCTATTTTTCTACTAGAATATGCAAATCATGATGATGGCACAGATGATGCCTTTCCTTATTAACCATGTCAGCCCAGCACCTTGCATAACTGAATCTGCTTAATGAATAAGGGAAAAAGTACTTCAAATCCCCTTTAGTATACATACAAAAGTAAGGGAAATTGCTACAGATTCAAAGACACCTTTATTTAACAAAAGATCAATAAGTGAAGCAACTGGTTGTCAGCATATCATTCCATCTAGGTTTGTACACTCTTAAAAGGCCATGTTTCTACCCCTCTCACCCTTCCTTGAGGATTCCATGCTCTTTGATTTACACTGAAAACAGCAGTTTGGCCACCCTCAATGGACACAAATCGTGTTCCTTTTAAATGTTCTTTGAGTTTTAGGTACAAACAGAACGTGAAGGGGCAAGATCCGGGCTGGGGAGTGAGTTTGATTAGGTTTATCCAAAAATTCTCCTAGGACAGCCCAATCTATCCTTAAAGAACAAGCAGGTGCATTGTCATAATGGGAAAAATTCCTCAGCGCTATTTTACTGGTCTTTTTCTCACCAATACAATTTTCAATTGTCTTAACACTTCTTCATAATAAGCCACCATAACCAGCCCATGTCCTTGGTAAATAAAAATCTACCAAGATTACCCCGTGGCGATTAAAAAGAACAGAAGAACACAGTCACCATCACCTTCTGAGCTGACCTCTCTTCCTTGAATTTAACTTGTCCAGCAGATTCCCTAAGAAGCCAATGTTTAGACTGGAAGTGTTTTTGAAGGCACACTAACAAGATAACAAGATTAAGACAAGTATTTGCTTGATTTACTGAAAGAACTTGTCTGCAACCACCTAATGATCTCAGAGACATATTTAAACATGTTTTGTTTGCAATAAGCCTATGTATGTTTGAAGTGAATTCCGAGTAGTGATACATTTTGATTTACCCATGTATTATGCACTCCACAAAAAACAATACAGTGCCCATAAATAACTTTAATTCCACAAGTAAAATTTGAATCTTTGAACAGCCTCAAAAGCATTTATCCTACCTTGGAATTGGAAGTGGACTCCAAAAAACAAAGTCTGTTGCCAAAACCTTCTGCTGCCAAACATAGTTTCTGTTGCTCTTTGTGGATGGTTGCAGTACACTGTAGAACCACTTCATCATCCTACAAAAGGGAGAGAAAGAAGAGAATCATGAGCTGTGGCCTGACAAGATAACTCTAATTCAGATCAAATAGAATATGAATTTTGTATGTTTTCAAATCAAGGGCAAACATCAGAGTAACTGTCAAGAAAACGCGAGAATCAATTTCAAGATCACATTTTATTTGCAGAAAAAAACTTGGGTTCAGAGCACTACCATTCAAAGTAAGTCATAGTTTTCTCATTATCATTACTGCTATCATGGGACAGTCTGTATGGAAAAAGAGTAAAATACAGGACCTCTATATTAGCATTCTTATGTACTTTGCTAATGATTAACAGTACTAAGTAACCATCTGTTATATTGCAATCACATTAAGTATCATCAAAAACAGCACAGATTCAAAATTAGAAATCAGTAACAGGAACAACTGGGAAATGAGCAAACACAAGGAAATTAAAATGACACACTTTTAAACCACCAACAGGGTAAGTTAACAAATCAAAAGAGAAATAAGACATTTCCTAGAGTCAAATGAAAATGAAAGCACAACATAGTAAAGTTTTTGGGGTACAGTGAAGGCAGTTCTCAGAAGGAAAGGTATAATAATAAATGTCTGCATGTAAAAAATAAAAAGGATCTCAAATCAGTAGGCTAACTCAACAACTCCAGGAATTGGAGCGTGAAGAGAAAACTAAGCCTAAACTTACCAACAGAAAGGAAATAACAAAGATCAGAGCACAAATATAGTTGAAATAGAAAACCAAAAGTTGGTTCTTTGAAAATAACAATAAATTTGATAAAACTTTTAAATAGACTGATTATGAAAAGGAGAGAAAAGATGAAAATAACCAAAATAAAAAAAGAAAGCAGGGACATTATAACGAACCCAAAAGAAATAAAAAGGATGATACAGAATATAATGGACAGCAACAAATTGCATAACCTATGAAGAGGAAATGGAGAAACTCTTAGAAGCACACAACCTACAGAAACTGACTCAAGACGAAATACAGTCTGGACAGACCCATAACGAGAGATCAAATCAGAGATTGAAAACCTCTCAACAACAAAAGGTTCTGGAGCAGACAGCTTCACTGGAGAACTCTTCCAAACATTTAGAGCACTGAAACCAAGACTGTTTCACTGCTCCCAAAGGATAAAGGAATACTCCCCCATTCATTTAATGAAGCAAACATAACCCTGACACCAAAACCAGACAATGACACTATAAGAAAAGAGGCCAATATACTTTCACAAATTTAGATGCAAAAATTCTTTCAAAAAAATAACAGAATCCAACAGTATATTAATAGAGTGATATACCATAAACAAGTGGGATTTACTCTAGGTAAGTTGGGATGGATCAACATTATAAAATCAATCAGTATAATACACCACATCAATAGAACAAAGGAAAAAATATCATACAATCCTCTCTACAAATGCAGAAAATATATTTGATAATATCCAAAACAATTTTTTAATTTTGGAGAAAATTGGAGTAAAAGGAAAATTCCTCAATATGATTCAGGGAATATAAGAAAACAACACCTACCATTATATTTAACAGAGAAAGACTGAAAGCTTTCCCCCTTGAACTCAGATAAAAGACAAGGGTGTCCCTTCTTACTGCTTCTACTCAAAATCATATTAGAAGTCCAAGCCAAAGCAATAAGATAAGAACAATAAATAAATAAAAGTTAACCAAATTGGAAAAGAAGAAGTTAAATCATCTCTGTTTGTGGATGATAAGATCTTATTTTCAGAAAAACCTACAGGACACAGAAAATGTTTAGAACTGATAAAGGATGTTAGCAAAGTACACTCAGTAAAACAAAACAGTGATTGCTGATGTCAAATGGCTCTTGGATGAAAACAAAGACTATCAGAAAGATGTTCATCTACTGACTACACAAAGCATTTGACAAGGTGAATCTTAACAAATTATGGGTAACATTACAAAGGATGGGAATTCCAGAATAGTTCATTGTACCCACATGGAAACTGTACCTATATCAAGAAGCAGTTGTTTGAACAGAACAAAGGCTACTACATTCTTTAAAATAAAGATAGATGTCCTTCAGAGTTGTATCCTTTCAAAATATTTTTTCAGCCTATATCCCTAGCCAATAATATGAAAAGTTGGACTATGTGAAGGATTAGATGACTACTCATTACCACTGTGATATGCAGATGACACAACATTGTTTGCTGAAAGTCAAGAGGATTTGAATCACTAACCGCAGATCAAAGACTAAAACCTTCAGAATGTATTACAACTCAACATAAACCAAAATTCCTCACAACTGAACCAAGAAGCAACATCATGATAAAATTAAAAAAGATTGAAGCTGGCAAGGATCTTATTTTACTTGGGTCCATAATCAATGCTCATGAAATCAGAAGTCAAGAAATCAAACAACTTATTTCACTGGGCAAATGTTCTGAAAGATACCTCTTTAAAGTGTTGAAAAGCAAAGATATCATTTTGAGGACTAAAGTGCACCTGACCCAAACACAGTATTTTCAATTGCCTCATAAACAAACAAAATCTAGATAATGAACAAGGAAGGCAGAAGAAAAAATGATGCATTTGAATTGTAGTGTTGGTGAAGAATATCAAATACATTATGGCCTGCCAGAAGAACAAACAAATGTGTCTTGGAAGACATACAGCCAGAACGCTCCTTAGAAGCAAGGCTGGCAAGACTTTATCTCACAGACTCTGTCAATGAAACAGAGGAAGATCATCAACGAGATGAACTGGCACAATGGCTTCAACAATGGGCTCAAACGTGCCAAGGATTGTGAGGATGGCACAGAACCAGGAATTGCTGTGTTGTGCACAGGGTCACAGTAAGTCAGAACCAACTCTTCAGTCCCCAACAACAAAGCAGGGCACAAGGCTGACAAAGAAAAAGTATTTGAGAAATATGAAAGGAAAGTTAGGGAAACAATTACATGTACAGTCATATCTAAAAGAATAAAATACCTAGGAATAAATCTGACCAGTGTGAAGAATTTATACAATGAAAATCATAGCACACTGCTGAAAGAGATTAAAGCACTAAGTGTTTAAGTAATAAATCAAAAGATGTTCCATGTTCTTGTGCTGGAAGAATTTAACATTCTTAGGATGGCAAAGCTATCTATAGATGCACTGCAATGCTGATTAAAATTCCAACAGACTTCTTTATAGAAATCTTCAACTTAATGTAGAATGACAAGAGACCCTAAATAGCTAAAGCAATAAAAGGGAAAAACAAAGGAGGAGGAGACACACTTCCTGATTTTCAAATGCTATTCAGCCATAGTCATCAAACTCACCAGCCACTCCTTGGAAACCCTATACAGAGTTGCTCTGAATCGGAACTGACTCAACAGTACTTAACAACAACAAAAAGTAATCTAAACAGCCTGGTACTGGTATAACAACAGACACACAGATCAACAGCATAGAATTCAGAGTCCAGAAATAGACCCATTGATTTTTTTAAAGAGTAGGCTAAGTCCATCTGATGAGGAAAAAAGAATCTGCTCACTAAATGGTGTTAGAAAAACTAGATTTCCACATGCAGAAATGAAACCGGATTCATTCCTCACACCATGCAAAAACTAATTCCAAATTGATTAGGGACCTCAATGTGCAAACTAAAATCATAAAATTCTCAGAAAAAAATACAGAGGCAACTCAGTCAGACCTAGCTTTTAACAATAGATTACCTAACATAACAACAAAAACACAAACAGTAAAAGACTAAAGAAATAAATAGGACCTCATAAAAATTTAAAACCTTTTCACTAGATGTGGTCATGATAGACTAGGCAGAATTCAGAAAAACAAACCAAGATCAAATTGACAAAAAGAATGGAAAATTAGAAATTATATAAAAACATCAAATAGAAATCCAGATTTATACCAACATTTCAGAAACGCTTAACGCATTGGAAGGACAAAGGATTAGAACTAAATCAGTGGAAAATACCATTTGTGATGTTGAATATAAATCTCTTAGAACTAATGTTTTAAAGGAATAATCAGAAAAAATAATGATTTTTTTTTTTTTAAGAAAGCCTAAGAATTATGGAGGACATTGTCATGAGGAATGACTTAGCTGTGATCATAATCCCAGAACAAAGACTAAATAAAGAAAACTCCTGGAACTAATAGAAGGATTCAGTAAAGTGGCAGAATACAAGATCAACATACAACAATCACACAAAGTTCCCTACACTAACAAAGACAACTCTTGAAAAGGAAAGGAGAAAAAACAATACCACTTAACAGTAGCCACCAAATGCGAAGTGCTCAATCTAACCAAAGACACAGAAGACCTATACAAACTAAAAAACATTACTGCAAGAAACCAAAAGACACCTACCTACACACGTTATGGATAAGAACGCTTACACTGTGGAAATGTCAATACTACCCTATGTGATTTACAGATGTAATTCAAGCCTACCAGATTCCATTACAATTCTTTATAAACATAGAAAAATTAATCATCACATTTATGTGGAAAAGAAAAAGACCCCAGATAAGCAAAACACTACTAAAGAAAAACATAAAAGTGGGAGTTCATAACCTACTTCACAGCTATGGTAGTAAAAAATCGCCTGTTACCATGACAGACACAGACCAATCGAACAGAACTGAGAACCTAGAAGTACATCCATTCACGGGTAAACAGCTGATCTTTGGAAAAGGGCTGAAACCCATTTAATGGGAAAGAGATGTTCTTATTGTTAAGCACCATCGTGTTGGTTCTGACTCATACTGATCCTGTATAGAGTTTCTGAGGAACAGCTGGTGGGTTTGAACTGCCGCCCTTGTGGTTCCCAGTCCAGTGCTGATCCTACAGGGATAGTCTCTGACAAACAGTGCTGGCAAAAATGGAGATCTATTTGCAGTAAAATGAAACAGGGTCCATACCTCTTACCATATATGAAAATGAACTCAAGATGGACCAAAGACCTACACAAAAAACTTAAAACCAAAAAGATTAGAGACAAAATTAGGGGCAAATTTACATGGCATAAAAACACTGTCAAACAGAACTAAAAATGTACAAATAGAGTAAGACCAATTTTATGAGAGGAACTTCCCCCCCAAAAAAATATTTATATACATCAAAGACTTCACCAAAAGAGTAAAAAAGAGAATCTACATACTGGGCAAATTTTCTCAAGCAACACTATTTTATAATTTATAGAAAACTTCACTTCAATACTTCAAAAATAAAAAATTGGAGAAGG